CTTCATTAGTGAATAATAAACACATTAATGATTTATAAAGCGTTTACAGATGCATTAATAACATATCTATAAACTCTTTATAATCCATTTATAGGGGGAGTCTTATTGTTAAGTAGTACCCTTTTTTGAAGATGCTTCACCTCTCATCAAAAGGCTTGTTTTCTTCCCATCAAGAATTGGAAGTTCCAGGCTTACAAGAAGACACTGTTTCTAACTAAAATAATAATAATAATAATAATAATAATAATAATAATAATAATAATAATAATAATAACTTTTGGAGCTGAAACATCTTTAGAAAATTTAAAGAATGAAATCCACTCGGTTGCCCTGAGAATCTGCAACAACAAAGTGAACAGCTATTTGAAACAGAAAACCTTCCTGTCTTTGGGAGAAACAGCTTATTGTCTGCTCAGATTTGTACATTTTTCTTCAAGTACCTCAAGGTGAAGATAAAACACTTAGTTACAGAAAACATTCAAAAAACTTAGTATCTCAAAACCAGAGAGGAACTTTTAGTCATACTGAAAACTGCTTCTGTAGACTTTTTATTTTAAGACCATCTTTTGATGGTGAAAATACACGTTTTTTTAATGCAGTTTTCAGGGATGAAAGAAATGAAATACAGTATTTTTGAAGAGACATAAAGGCTGAACATTTGATTTGTTTAGTGTTACGTTTGAGTTTATAGATACTGCAGCACCACCTACTGGATCCTTTCAAAAGCACACTTGATGCTTTGCTGGTTTGTTACCATCAGTTGTGCATAACGACGTGTGTATTTTTACCATTTTATATAAGTATACTGCAGTTATTATGACATAAGCACAACAGAGACAAACAAAATTCTGATTATCTAAACAAAGCACAGCAAAAACATGAGTGTTAAAATTTCAGTGTTAAACTTTTGGGCTCATGAAAACACATTACCTTCAAACATCCAATTACACTTTGTTAAAAGAGAAAGTTGTTACAATCTCAAGGGGATAAAGGTAACCCAAATTTAGAACCAGTTTAAAGGAACAGAGTACTTCAGTCCAGGGTATAAAATTATGGAATAATCTGGAAGAAGACATTAAAAATGCCAGATCAATGTGTATACTAACTAACTAACTAACTAACTAACTAACTAACTAACTAACTAACTAACTAACTAACTAACTAACTAACTAACTAACTAACTAACTAACTA